CAGGTCTTTTATATGACCGTTCATGGTATTTCGCTTCACAGACATAACACCGACAATTGATTTACTGACAGGCTTTTTTTGCAGACATATAATTTGCCGAACACTCGATTTACCAACAAGCTTGTTTTCACAATTAATTTTACCAACAATACAATTCGCTGATAATACAAATAAAAACTTTATGATTGGCACGAATAACAAAAGCAGGAGAAGTATTCAGTGAAGAATTGAATTATTCATGTAAGAAAAAAAGATCAATCAGTGTTGGAAATTCAAAAGAAAATATGGCGATTTTTGTGAACATACAATATTAAAAAAAAAATTAATGATCACAAATGAAATTTTATCAATTATATGAATTTATTTATGTTCGCAATTGTGAACATAAATTATGATTTATTTTTTAAAAATTTACGCTTATTGTGAACACCACGAGCATATGATTCCAACACTGGATGCAATGTGATTCTTGACCTGATTCGGATTATGAGTGTAAATATAATTAGTATCCAGCGAACCCTTTTCTGCATTCGTAATCCGTGTAAATCATAAGCTTTTATTTGTCGATGAGTTGTATTGTCGGCGAATTGTATTGTCGGTAGAATAAGCTTGTGGTGAAAACGAGCTTATCAGTAAATCGAGTGTTGGCGAATTATTTGTCTGTAAAAAAAAGCTTGTCAACAAAACGATTGTCGATGATTTTATTGCCACCATAGTCCATCGTAAAGCATAGTACACAACATTTGTTAATCCATGTAAAAAGCTTTACTAAAAATATATCACTTAATCATTTACTATTAATACCTTCTGATTATTTATTTATAGATCCTAGCACGGGAAAATATATTTTAATTATGCAATTTGCAGAGAATGGTACTTTGAAGAATTATCTTAATATTCGAAAAAATGTACTTGATTTAGATACGAAAGTTTATTTTAACAAAACAATCGTCAATGGGTTAAAATTTTTACATGATAAGAATATAATTCACAGAGATTTGGTACGCATTATATATATATTACCATTTTTTTTACTGAATATTTTATAATTTCTATATTAGACCATATAAAGTAAATTTGTTGGTTTTCACAACATAAATTTTAAAAGAGTTGGTACTCGGTGTTTTTTTTAAAAAAAAAAAACAACCCTACTTTAACAACTATTATATAAGTCTTTGGATAAATGAAATAATTGCGATGACAGAAACTTATTGATTAGGTCATCAACAAAATTTTCAATAGTCCAAGGTTTATAATAATAGCAAATTTATCGATCATTATATATTCAAACACTAAATGAAGATCACATTTTTTAATTTTAAGTAATTTGCCATAACTTTAGCGTTACATAAACACTAATATTAATGATTTTGTTAATTATTATATCAGCATTCCAAGAATGTTTTAATTCATAGAGACAAACCTCTATTGGCAGATTTCGGACTTTCAAAATCTCTTTTAGAATCAAAAGATGGATATACATCACAAGTTCGTGGAGTACAGGCTTATGTTGATCCAAAATTGCTAACCAAAAAATCAAATCATCATTATGAGAAACCGTCTGACATTTATAGTTTTGGTGTGCTTATGTGGGAAATTTATACTTGCCGTGCACCATTCGAAAAAAGTAAGAATGATGCTGTGTTCCCTGTGAATCTTTTTTTTGGCCTAAGAGAAGAACGAGAAATAGGAATGCCGATGGACTATATAAACATATATGAAAAGTGTTGGATTCCAGACCCTTCGCTTAGACCTGAAATTTCAGAGATATTAAATGATCTTGAAAATCTCAAAAAATTACCAGTTTGCACAGCGAAAGATATTCAGCGAGCAGCAGGTATGTGTTGATTTTAGTATCTAATAAAATTATTCTCAATTGTATAAAACAATGAAATCAATAAATTTTTTTTCTTCTGGATTAATTTATTAGAATTCCCAGTATTTGATTCGATTATTCAAGATCTACCTGATATTGATTGTATTACTGAACAAATGCAATTAAATCCAATTTCAACAGCTGTTTTAGAACAGTCCATCGAAATTGATACATTTTTGCCAGTATTTGAAAAAATTCAGCAAATAGAAAGAACTAAACCGCCAGATGATGATATACATCTCAATAGAAGGATATGTAAAGTATTGAGTCAATGTATCATCGATGCTGATCATAATATTAAGACACTTCGTAATTTAGAAGAAAACCCTGATAAATTTGCAACATTAGAGAATTTTGTGTACTTTCAAATTTTACTACAAAATATTGAAAATATTAAGAATTTTATGGAAAAAATTTCTCAAATCGGAGGATTACAATCCTTTATTCAAGTTATCGGTTCGGAAATTTCATTGAATCAATTAAAAAACCAATACATTGAATTAATAAAAAAATTTGGCGAATCTATATCATCACTTAATTTTGTATCTCGGATAAATGGACGAATTAATAATATCATCAATGAAGATGATGAAACATTCAAGGATATAGAAGAAACAAAGGAGGTATGTTGAATTAGTATTTATATTCATCTTCGCAAATATGATTAAATATAATTTCTTTATTGCATAACTTTATTTTCTAGTTTATTCAAGCACTTCAATGCAATTTTGAGCAAATCGACATTCTTAACTTTATTAATAAGATAAACACTAATATTCAAAATGTCACCACCAATTTCAATTTATTCGATGGCAAATCGTTGGATTTTGTAAAAGAATTTCAAGATGGAATTATTCCAAAATCACCCGATGGCAATATTACTATCGTAAAGCGAATTTCATATGTAAAGGAAGACGTGTGTGCTCAAGCTGCACTTCTAAAAAATTCAGAGGATTTTATAAACATAACAAAATTTTATGGCATTAGAAAAGATGAATCATCTCCTAATTCAATATTTATAGTTACAGAATGGTCAAATTATGGCGATTTAAAGATGTTTTATAATTGCTATAATTTGTATCCTTCGATTAAATTAAAAATTTCGTTAGACATATGTAGCGGATTAGTATTTCTAAATGCAATGAAAATATTACATCGCAATATTAGGCCTGAAAATATTTTGATCACAATTGACCTTAGAGCTAAAATTACTAATTTTTTTCATAGTCGACTGATAACAGCTGAATCAAGAAATCTTGATATTAAAGACACTGGAATTAGATACATAGCACCAGAAATCTTAAAACGAAATTGTAAAACACACACTAAATTACCAACTGTATTTAACTTTGTTAAAAAATCCGACGACTATAATTTTAAGTCAGAAATTTATAGGTAGGTTTTAAAAAGAAATATTGATAACGAGTTCTAACTATATTTAAATTTGGGTTTCATGTTAAATCTTCATTCTAATTTAGTTTTGGGGTTGTTCTTTGGGAACTTTCTAATGAAGAAACGCCATTCAATAACTATAATTATAATGATATAATAAGTTTAATCCTTGATTCAAAACAACAAATACAATGGAACTTTAATAGTTCTATGCCGAATGAATACGTAGAAATCAGTAAACAAGGTAAAAAGCTAGATTGTTTCATTTATAATATTATTTTTTGATCATTAATGTATTTATTTTTATTAGCACTTAATCCTGTTCCAAATAAACGTCCAACAATATGCCATATGTTCAAAGTTTTGTATGATTTAGTAAAGAATGATAGACTGAAGAATTATCAAGGATGTTGCTTGAAACCTTCGAAAAAAGGAGTTCCATTAGTAACTTTATCAGATTATACTTAAAGTTATATAGACAATTTTATTTTCATATAAGGTTTAAAATACATGTTAAGGAGGTTTTATGTTATATGTTAAAATAAGTTTTTATGTTATATGCTGAATTATATATCCGAATAGTATTTAGTCTGTAGGGATAGCACATGATTTAAATCACAATGTTATAAATCACTGATTTTTTATTTAAATCAATTTAAAGCTGATTTAATGTTTTATTACGTCATGTATTTAGAAGATATAAACATTTTTTAAATCGAAATGTCAATGTTTTTAAAAAATTTCATCTTTAAATTAAATATAGTATATCACGTAATAAAAATCAAATGCTTTAAATCATTTGTAATCATTTTTAAATCATTAAATTGATTTAAATCTTAATTCCTGCCATCCCTTTTAGTCTGTCAAAAATAGATATTTTGTTATAGTTTTTATTATTAAACTTCTGCATTTCAATTAATAATAAAATAGTTTTATATTTATAAACTTAAGCGCTTTGCTTATTGGGTCAAATTATACCAGGAATTTTAATAGTACTGTAGAAAATTTTTTAAAATATTTATTATTTTAGTTAAACTTTTAAAGTTCTATCTGGAATTAACAAATAAGGACACAAAAATGAAAAATATTACAAATAAGAGCCCAAAACCAAAATTATACCAGGAACGTACGTAAGAATATGGTTTACTGGCATCTAAATCGAAGGCAAAATCTTAAAGCTGATTGGTGTACATTTTTTCTCATGATCATTATGATCATTACCTGTTTATGTAACATAAAATTTCTAATTTAGAGGGAGGTTAAGTGAAATTTAGTTAGGAGGTTTATATATTTATATATCAAAAATGCGGCGGTTTATGCGCATGTAGATCATGTATTAATTAACTTCCAATCTAACGAACCCATGTTTAAAAATTCGTTCTTCCTTAGTAAATGATTGGCTTACATGTGTTGCGCAGCAGCACATGTAAGCGAATCATTAACTTTGATGGAATGGTAATCCGATGTCATTTGTAATGACTTCATTATTACGATCAATGGCTTGCCATTAAAGTAAAATCGGGTTTAAATTTTAGCCAACTTCTGATTCAATTATTAAAAAAACAATTCATAATACCAGTACAATCACATGAAATGTGAAACCGTTCAATTTTTTTTGATGTCACTACGTTGATTTTTAAAATCCTTTTTGGTTGGAATAATGATTTTCATTAATTATTATGATAATACTTTTACATACCTATGCCATTACATTATTATGTTAGTACGATCTAGAGACTGGACTCAAATCAAATCGTAGCTTAAAAAACACAGCCGTGACTCGAGTTAATTCGAGTTAAAACTATGTTTTTTAAGCTACAAGTTGACTCGAGTCCAGTCTCTAGTACAATCACATGAATGTGTATGGTCCGGTGCAAAAAGGTTCATACCTCAGATAGTTATTAGTAAACTTTTTTTTACAAAATAATTTTTAATATTTTTACATTATTAAAAGTAGTTAGTATGCGGATTAATTAAAATATAATTATTTTAGTAACTTCCTTGTTAAAATAAAAAATTTTATTTATACTAACTTTTCTTAAA